GTCATCGAGTTTGTTTGACATTCAGTGACGTCAGTCATCTACGCATGAATTCCAGTCCATCTAGAGTCTTCTTATCGGTCAGTGAAGCGTATTCCTGTCTTCTCCCTGGTTACACAATCTGACGCATGACCTACTTTACCACAATGAGGAATATCATAGTTGGTGATAATAGGCAACCTACTCTTACATCTATATTCACTTCGAAAGCTTTGATGAGTTCTTATTTTGTGGATAACCTGACATGTGGCATACACTTGTCATACACTTCCCTGCATGATTTAGATCAACAGATTGGTTTCTTTCAAGGATTTTATTATTTCTTGGTTAAACTAAATTTTGCTTTATTCCAGTCTAAATGTACTTGTTACTGTAACACAAGACACACACATTTAAGCGAATTATTAGTAGAAATGGCTAATACCTATCTCAGTCACCCTATGCGGTGAACATTTACATTTTTCCTCTATTGTCTTGCTCATTTTCTGTAGGCCTTTATACCTAACTTCCACACTAGTCAAGCAGCATTTCCATCAAACCGCAAGGATAAAAACTGTCTTAAACAACCAGTTGAGTTTTAAAGTGGAAGATTGCCAGAAAGATGGGATCATTGCAATTGAAAAGTGCCTCACAAATGTATTGAGAGAGCTGTTAAAGAAGGAACTAATTGACAACGACGTTGAAAATGATCTGAAACCTCGAGGCTCCTGTTTGCTTTACATGTACGGTCTGTCGGAGACACACAACGACCATATCCCTTCCTGGGGCTTACACATTCTATAATCCATTCACCCCGGCAGAAAGTTGCTAGTTGAATCGCAGAGAAGTTGGAACCTATTCGTCAATGACTAGCTGTGCGCATCATGAAAGATTCACTTAATTTCACCGGGAGCCTCAATCATATGATCGTTTCCAATAAGTTCATGGTTTAATTCGATGTTTACAAGGATTCCGATCAACTGAACTATCCGAATCATTCGTCAGCATTATGATTTTTCCCAACTCCCGGTGTTGGAATTTAAACGCCATGGATGTGAAATACCAGTTTTACAACATTAGATCGTCAAATAAGTGACTCAGCTATGGTCAGTCAACTTAGCCCTGTTTTACTAGACTTCTTCACCTCTAGTCTTGGGAGAACGAGGTTGAAGCCTAGAATCGATGAAACATCTTATTGTCCGTGTGTCCACAAAACACTTCTACTGTGCGACAAAGAAATCCATGTGCCTTACCTACCCAGATTATTCAGCCACTCACACACAAATATTCAGTTCCTTATGGAATATGAAAATGATGGAAAGTTTCATTTCCATGACGTCGCCATGAAACGCCTGGAAGATGGTGGTCTGCAGACATACATACACCGAAAGCTTGAGTGGAATTGAAAGTATTTCCATTTTAATAACTTTTTTTCATGCAGCCAGCTATTATAAATCAGCACTGGTCAAAACTCCTCTTCATATAGTTAGGAGAATATGCACTACAGAGAAATTAAATGAAGAATTTTCGATTCTCAAAAAGATGTCGGAAGACAAAGGCGACCCTCAGAAATTCTTAAGGAAAAACGGAATTAGTGAAGACTCTAATCACAGACAAATTACATCTTCAATTAAATTGATTTTAAAGGTGATAATATTGCAGGGATAATCAATAGAGGATTGAAAATGTCACTTACCACAGCCTATCCTACAGCTAGCCAAGTTGGTTCCCGTTTATCGGACAACATGCTCTTTGGTGAAATCAAAGGTGGAAAGAAACCCTTGTTATGTTAACAACTCCAACTGCGCATACAAACTTACATATATCTGTGAGAGCAGTTACAGTGGGAGAACAGAAAGAAGGTTGGGTATACCTCTGACTTTATGAACATGAACCAAACAGCCTCCATCTCAAGGCAACAAGTGCTTTGAACAGTGTCACTGCCAGGCATCTCGTCAGTACGGGTCATGAGGTGGACATCATGAAACCCTTTAAAATTGTTATTCGACAAAATAGTCCGATATTCATCAAGTTTTATGAAGAAATCGCTATCAAACGCCTGAAACCTGATTTATGTGTCCAGAAAGAAGGAGTTAACATCAGTCTTTCTTCTCCTTGGTAACTGGATGTCTTTACTCTCTCTTTCTATCTCTGTTTCCCTTTCCTCCGAATACATAATCTTCGGCTTCAAACACTTCCCCTTCAATATAGTGTCACTCAGTCTGTTAGTTGGTCACTATCCTATTCATCTCTAATCTTTATTGCGTAATTCTTTAGTCTGTTAATCAAAACATTTATTTTTGTCTAAACTTGAACTGTCTGGGTATAAAGTGTCTAATTGTCATAAATGTCAAGTTTGAAGTCTCTTGTCATTAACTGACGTTATGTAACATTTGAAAGTATGTTAAAATCTTTCTGTATATAAACGTTAATAATTTCTCTAGGCTGTATACATCTGACGACAAGTCGACAAAATAAATGCTAGTACTATGTTATTCTGCACAAAATGTCGTCCTAGCATCATTCAAACCCAATTAATACTACGAAGGTAACGACGGCCTAAAATCTGAAATTTTCGTGTTAAACAGTCGTACACTGACAAAAGTGTGTCCTGCTGAACAATACATTCAACATTTTGAGAGTATATAGACAATTTTCGTGTCTGTATTATGCATAATCAATAGTTTCCAGCTAAACGAAACGACTGACAGGTCTCATATCTTGAACGCCTTGTTCTTAGAAATGAATATCAAATATATATTCAGTAGGTAAAATGTACACTTAAGACGTTCTAGGACTGCAGGCCACAGTTTGTACACCTGTGAACTTTATATTTGAGTTGAATATACACTGCATGGATGTTAACCTCTGTGAAGTTCGACATTTATCATACTTTTAAATGTAGGTAGAAATAAAAGCTGCAAATATTTTAGAAGTATCAAGAGACTGATTACTAAACAAAGCGTATTCACATTCGCGATAACATCCTCTTCATCAGGTTCTACAGTTATGTATCCATCATAAGAGTGACGGTTATCAACAGCACTAATGTTGTTCAAATAACATCGAATCAATCAACAAATATCAATAGATTTCATTTCAATAGCATCTATAAGCGTGATAATATGCATCAAAATAACACTACACACTGAATATCAGACAAATTAGGAAAAGTAATAATAATACGGAATTCATGAATGTATAGTCTCCATTGAAAGACCAGGGTAGTAATAATGCCTGGTTGATCTCGCTTCTTCTACACGCGTACACAGAGCACCGGTTATTTCAGGCGAATTGCAATAGTCTCTGCTATTTGGAGTATGTAGCCTCTAGATGCTTTCGGCGACTTATTTAGTACACGATAGATGCTGGCCAGTCTGGGCCAGGGGTACTAATATGGAAAGAAATCAGACAACATTGGAACAACATTGGGGAATTGTTTCAAGCAGAAGATTATGTATTCGGAGGAAAAAGAAACAGAGATAGAAAGAGAGAGTAAAGACATCCAGTTACCAAGGAGAAGAAAGACTGATGTTAACTCCTTCTTTCTGGACACATAAATCAGGTTTCAGGCGTTTGATAGCGATTTCTTCATAAAACTTGATGAATATCGGACTATTTTGTCGAATAACAATTTTAAAGGGTTTCATGATGTGCACCTCATGACCCGTACTGACGAGATGCCTGGCAGTGACACTGTTCAAAGCACTTGTTGCCTTGAGATGGAGGCTCTTTGGTTCATGTTCATATAGTCAGAGGTATACCCAACCTTCTTTCTGTTCTCCCACTGTCTGTAACTGCTCTCACAGATATATGTAAGTTTGTATGCGCAGTTGGAGTTGTTAACATAACAAGGGTTTCTTTCCACCTTTGATTTCACCAAAGAGCATGTTGTCCGATAAACGGGAACCAACTTGGCTAGCTGTAGGATAGGCTGTGGTAAGTGACATTTTCAATCCTCAGTTCCTCACTCTTTTATTATAATGATGGATACATAACTGTGGAACTTGATGAAGATGATGTTATCGTGAATCTCAATATGCTTTGTTTATTAATCAGTCTCTTGTTATTTCCGAGGAGCACTATTCAATTTGTTTTAATGGAACCTATATTTTGATAACATATATTCGTCTTCAAAGCACCAGGATTGTTTACTTTTTCTTTTGTTGGGCATGCTGTTCGCCTAATAATATCTTCGATATCAAATTGTTGGAGGCAATGAGCCACAAGGAGCCTTCGACTCTGATTTCGTGTTAGTCGGCATTCACCAGTCAACAGGGCGTATCTGCATCTCTGAAGGAACAACTAGTGTCTCCCTCTGAAACTCGAACTCGCTTGAACAAGTTAGTAATGTAGTCAGAGAAGTTACCACTGAGCTATTCGGGTTCGCAACACCAAGGACTAGACACACACATCACGGTAGTTACTGAATAGTGTCCAATCTGCTAAATATATACTTTCATAAAACAAAATCTTAGCATTGTGTGTAAACTACTGAAACACAATTATCATATATTTCAAAGTAGTAAAAGTTCATTTTGCGGTTAAAAATAAAGATCTGTTTTTGGGTGATACTTGGTATGCCTTCTATGTCAGTATTTCTCATGCTAACTAACATCTTTTTCTGTAATATAAATACGACTGTACAGCTTGAAAATGAAGTCGTTGAAAAGAAATATTATTTCTTCACTGAACAAAAATAACTGTGTTCTCTTTGATAACTAATTATCTGGTCAATACACTTACAGCTAAATTTGAACTCATGACTCCAGTTTTCTTGAATTTATCTTTGCAGCAGCATTAAAAGCATCCAGCACTAACACAATGTACTACTTATCTGATGTTTTGAGCTAAGAACAGTGGAGTTAAGCTGAAGGTTAATCTGACAGATAGTGATACATGGATTCGAATGCTTTCATGTAATGCCTCTAGTTTGTGTTGAATACAGACACATACACAGTAAAAATGTGAGAACATTCTCACTAAAAAAAATGTTCGAATAAAAAATTAATCAGGAAACTTACTTATTACGTTTTTGAACGTTGATCATAGGTTCAGTGACCCTAAAAAGAGACGGTACAAAAGTAGAATGATAGTTACTCGCAATCGATTTCTTATTAGACAAGTTTAACAGCAGAATAGTATGAAAACGGTGCTTTCTGAATCATGTGTTCATAATCTGAAAAATATCCTTCTTTTAGCTTCGGTTATAATAATGCTCTTGTCCACTCCAAGTAAATTACTACGTGGCGTGATCCTGGAGAGAATAAAAGATGAAATGAATGCAGAACTTCGTTTGCAGAAACAAGCTGGATTCAGGAAAGGTAAATCATGTGCTGATCAAATTGCAACTCCACTCATTGTCATCACAAAACAAAGGATAAATTAACAGTGAAATATCTACCTCAACTTCATCGACTTCGAAAAGGCCTTCGAGAGACAGCGCTGACCGAGAAGTAATTTGGAATTTGCTTCAACACTACGGCATGAAATGCCTAAGTCTTTACCAACCCCGTTCAGTGGCTGACTATATGACAATGCCACGTGCCGGGAGATGCACAACAGTAAACTCAGCAAGGAGTTCTAAATGAATACAGGAATAAGACAAGCTAGCTGTCTGCCTATTATCACTAAGGATGATAATCCTTACAGGTCAGAAACTTGCTCTGCGGGTGTGTCATCGAAAGGATTTCTAGCAGACGGCTATAGACTTTTATCAACAGCTGCCCCATTTGCTATCTGTCCCCATGCTGAAGATGAAATGGCTAGCCAGCCGGTCGCAAACAATCAGCTGCAAGAAGCTCTGGCAATGAATGAACGAACCAACCAAGAGTCATCGATTGCTCATCAGATTTGCAGGAGAAAGTAGAGATGGACTGAATATACACTGACATCGCTCACAATGCAAAATGAATGGGAATTGATGAGTGGTCCATCTGTGCAAGGGTGACATGGAGGAGACCGTGAATGAGACTTGAGAGAGTACATGAGAGATTATTGGAAATCATGGCTTAAAACAGGTGAAGAGGACAGGAGAATATGGAATAGAATGAAGAAGTGTTGTTGAAGCCGTTTATGTTCCCCTTGGAATCTTAGGGGATAATAATAGATAATAATATTCTATGAATATATGAGACTATCTCTTGCTAAACTATCCTCCTTACGAGTTGATTGGAGGCAGTAGGGAGGAAGCTTTCGACTTAGGGATTTTAAAAAATATGGTTTGATCTCATCGTTATGCTCCTCTTTTGAAATCGTTAGGCTTACTTTGACATTTGAGCTACTTGAACGTATATTATTTCCAAAGGACCATAGCTAACACGCAAATTTATCATCTATGTACTTGTAACCCTCTGGATATTCTTGTGGTTCAACAAATGTTAACGAATAAGGCAAGACTAAATCAATTGTCTGAGAGATACTAATATGCCACAGCGAAGTCGAGGGAATATTACTGAGATATATCAATGCAAAATTACAAGTACATGTGAGTTTCATCAAGTTGTATAGTCGTCACGAAGTTTGGGGGATTTCATGAATCAGTCGTGTGCTAGACAACAGTCAAGGTTGATGCTCCTTAATTTCAAAGGAGACTTAACCTGTAATTTCATTAAAAAAAGAATTTCCTCATCATTCCAGAGGGGCACTCTTCGCAGCAACGCTAAACAGTAGTGTTCTCCAGTCGTTCATAGGTTTGCAGAAGCCTTAAGGACAAGATCTCACATCCGGCCACTTCTGTGTGCATGTATCAGTTCGCCTGTTCTTGGGGAGCCAGAAAGGCAGTAGTGGCTCTATAAGGCTCTATAAGGTCAACGCTGGTAATTCAACAAACGCCTTCTTCAAAGTGATCTACAAAGTGAGGAAAAACCACCTGCCAAAGACAATACGCTTATGTCTCTTTCGCATTGCTGAGACTCTAGCTATTCAGATAGGAAAACTGGAGCTATGTATATAAAAAGAAAATTATGTCACTACTTCTACTGTCATTGGTAACAATCTCTTGAAGTTTTACTGACTTGACTTGATTTTCTTTGCTTGTTTTTCTAATTCTTCATAACTTTTGTGTTTCTGGAGAACCCCCTCGTGACTTCATATTTTTCTTCATTTCTATGTGCATCCTGATTACAACTCAGTGACTCGTTAAATTATTCATCTTATTACGTGACTATAATACACTTATTCAACTCCTCTTATGCACTGACATATACTAATTAGCAACTATGATTATGACAGCTCATCACTTTTAATTACTACCCTATTTAGTTAAAACAAAATTGTATATAAATGCGGTTGTACAGCTATGCAGGAGAATCGATTCGCCGAACACAGCCTCTTCGCTGAACTCTACGTGTTTTGTTCTCATTAATATCTGGATGAGGGTTGTTCAGGAATTGAAAACAAAAAACATTTTTATGCACAGCTTTATTGTTTCCTATCAACTAAAATACATAAAACTATTTTAGACTATAAATGGTTATATAGGGATGAGAAAAAATACGCAGATTGTTTATTTTGAACTTGATACCACTTAATGTGTACAGTTGAAATTGATGCATATTTTTTTTTAAGTTTTCTTAGTGATTTTCGTTCGATCAGTTTGTTTACAAAATAATTGAGATGATTGTATGTTTTGACAGGATAGTGATTTAGACAACAGAAGAATTGGCAAACACTCGTTAAAGGTCAGAGGAACATGAAGCCAAGTCGTCAATTCACTGTTTATGTATATATATATATATATATATATATATATATATAGATAGAAAACGGATTGAGCGAAGAAGCCTGCATTCTTTTTCAGTTATTCCTCATCACCAGGTGGCTGACTGGCTGGCTCTACACTAATAAATAGTCATTTTTTACATCAAAATTGTTTTTACCAACCAAGTGGTTATTTTAGTTAATCATTCTTAGGTATACGCGATGGTGAAAGGTTATAAGTCATAGAAACAATTAGCTAATAGGAGTGAATAACAAGATATCTAAGTTTTGAAGGAGGGAGGGGTGAAAATCAATTAATTACGGAGTTCAAGAAAAGGTAATTCTTAGGCGTTAGCAACAACAAATTTGTAAAATAGCAATGATGACTAAGAAGAACAGGATGACTCAGAAGAATTAAGTAAAATACAAACAAGTTTATACAATTAGCTAGAATTGTTATCATAATAAAATAACAGGGTCAAAAGACAGTTACAAGAGGAGGGGAAAATCGTTTTTAAAATCTAATACATATTATGTATTCAAGTATTGGTCTGTGGGGAGTCGTGACCAGTAGTGTACAGCAGCTCTGGTGTGAGGAGAAATACTCGCCGAAGACATCGGTTAGTGGTCGCGCTATTTCATGCGTGAGTTGGCAGAAGTTGGAATTCATGGGCTTACCATTGAATTGGCGGTTCCCAGTGGCTTAATGGTCTACGAGCTCGCCTTGTAACCAGTAAGTCCTGAGTTCGAACTCTGGAGGTAGATGCGCACTGATGAAGAGCCAGTCCAAACTAGGACTAAACAGCCTTCCAGTACTCCCGTCTGGTTTTTCAGTGGTTCGCTAACCCATGTCAGTTCATGATGAAATCCTGTAATCAAACATATTATGTAGGTGGTCATGGCAAAGAAGAAGGGGCTGTACAAATTTCTTTTGGACATTCACATAGATTTGGCTTGTTCAGGTGGATTCCGATTGCCCCTGCTGTATGTAAAAGTCGTACTCGTAGACCATGTGGGAGGTTGGGTGATATGCGATAAATAAATAACTTTAAAAGCTTCGTTAGAGTCAACTTTATGTCCAGTGATTATCGATGAGATGAGCTAGTATTGAGCTGCGTATTGCTTTATTCGGACATTTGCCAAAAAAAGATGGGAGGTGTTCAGAAATTCGACTATGAATTTGCCTGATCGTATGCCTTATGTAACAAGGTAACATTAAACAGTGGAGAGATATATTTGATGCCAGCCGATGATGAGGGACTAATTGAAAAGGAATATGTTTCTTCGCCCAGTCTGTTGTCTTTCTAAATGTGCTAATGCGATTTTGGAAGTATATATATATATATATATATATATATATATATATATATATATATATAGGGAGAGACAGAGGACACAGATGATGAAGATGGCCAGCCATCAAAACTGGAAACTCTAATGAACACCAGTGTAAGAAAACTGGAGAAGATGGTTTCTTTCACTTTCTCAGCTGGTCAATATCGTACCAAGTAAGCACGGGTGTGACATATGAGGATGTCACAGTTGACTGGGATAGGGAAATCAATGCAGACACATAGACAGATAGATAGATTGAAGACAGATCAGGGATAGATAGGTAGACAGTCAGATCAGAGATAGATTGACAGACAGACAGACCTTCATAAGTCTAACATCAGTGTGTAAATGTGCAGCATCGATTACAAGGATTAATATCAGAAATTTGAAGACTATTGTCAAGTCACTGAGTGTTTCTATGTGGTTCAGAGATTAAGTATACCAAGAAAAATCTCTCCTGTATACTGAAGATCAGATGGCTGGTCAGAAATGATAATCAACAAAGAAATCTAGTAAAAAAACACAACCAAGAAGCTCCTCTTTAAGTAGCAAATGTGAATAAGGAAATGGGGAGAGATAGGTCAAATGCTGAATGGGGTTATATGAAGTGACAGACCGTCGAATAGAAAGTGAGTTGGAGGCTGCTAGATGGTATGCAGGAAAATCGTGTGAAGAGTCTACAATACAAGCCATTGAGGAGCGGAGTGAAATGGTGATGGCCTCGTGAAATCCTGTGTTCCACTCGAAACCTATCAGTAGAATAATATAAATGTAAAATCTACTTGCAGGCGAAAACTGAAAGACTCGCTGAAGAGGATGGTTGGCTGGCAGCGAAGACCAGTGGACTTCAGATGAACATAGAGGTGGAGACGGAAGTGATGAAGATAAACAACCACCAACAGCAACAATCACCATCACCACCAGTGGGAGAAAGACGGTGAAAGGGGTTACTTCCTTCACTTCACTTATCTAGGTAACCAGCATTGATTGTTTCAATCACAGGCAGTCGGAACGGATGAAGATGTGGAAACCAGCCAGTCAGCCAGAATTGTAAAGGCGACATACTCCTTCATCACCCTGAAATAAAACTTCTGCACTTAGCATAAAAACAAGATTTTGATTTCCAACACCAATGTTAAGTCAGTCAGTGCTTCTATGTGAGTCATAAATTTGGCACTTGTGCCTTGAAAAGCAATTCCAACAGCCAAGTGGATACTTTTTCATTAGCCTCCATTTTCAATATCTCCATATTGAAGATCGCACGGCCGATCGGAAAGCACTAGCCACGAGAAACTCTGCGAACAGATCGACCAAGAACCTAACGCCCTTCAAATATTCCGAAGAAAGTGGAGATTGATATAATACACACTAGGAGACCATTTGATGACATAGATTGCTAGTCCCATTTCTTGAATGAAACGTGAATGAGAAACGACTAGTTGCTCGTGTGTCTGAGAGTGACATGCAGGAGATTGTATGAAGAGGTGATGAAGGCTGATAGACAGTCATGGAGTTTATATAAGAAGACAATATAGAACAGGACAAATGGAGATATTCTATTGAAGCCGTATGGTCTACACGGAACCTAAGAGAATAGTGATAATAATAATAACCCCTGTGGGTGAGTACTTATGAAGAGTTGCAAGCTAGGACGAAACAGCAGTCCAGTACTCCCAGGTTTTCCAATGGTTCTCTAACCAATGTCAGCTCATGATGAAATCCTGTAATCAACAAATAATTTCTTGTTAGCACTATTTTAGAAAGTGCACCGGTGGCACAGCGGTCAAATGCTCTCTAACCAGGCCTCACGTGGTCTGGGGTTCGATCACCGGCCGACACACTTCTGTACCTCGCCAGTAATAAGACTGGTAAAGAGGCTTGCAACCACTTCCCCTAAAAAATAAATGCCACTGCTACCGAAACTTCAAAGCTCTAGCTTGAAGCCCTATGTTCCACTGGGGATGTAAAGGAATAAAAAAATTTTAAAAAGATTAAAAAAGCTATTTTAGGGTAAATTGGCTTAAGTAGATGGTATTTATTATTATTCACTTGGGTTCCGAGTGGAAAATCGCGATTCAGCAACACATCTCCACTCTATTTTATTCTCCGCTATCGTCTTCGGCTGGCAAGCCCCGCGACTGCCCATAATCTCTCATCTCCTCCTCCCTCCAACTCACAACATCTCCTCAATGTCACCCACACACACCAACGACCCACTCTTCGTCTACCGTTCACCTTCCACTCGAGCGATGGATGACTTGCATTGAGTGCGATGTCACTCGACGGCCTCCCTCTTGAGCGTACGTCCAATCAGTCCATCTCCATTTTCTCCTACATATTCAGTGAACGACAATTTCTTGGTTGGTTTATTGCCAGAGCTTTTTGTTGCTAATTCTTTCTAGCCAACCGGCTGACCATTTGATCTTCAGTATGGAGACAGCCAGAGAAGGGGACAGCTGTTGATAAAAGTCTGCAGTGGCCAGTTGGAAATGCTTTTCGTGACGCTCATGCACTGAGTAAGTTTCTGACACATATAGAAGTACCAACTGAATAACTAACTGACTTAACTGGCATTTGTACTGATACTCCGAATGTTGTTGTTTATGCTAGCTGAGGCGGATTGAAGCAGTAGATTTCCAAACTGATTTCAGTTTGATGGAGGCGTATCTCGCCTTTACAATTCTGGCTGACTGACTAGCCTTGAAACCTTCATCCGTTCCGACTGCTTGTGACTGAAACAATCAATGCTGGTTACCTAGATAAGTGAAGTGCAGGAAGTAACCCCTTTCACCGTCTTTCTCCCACTGGTGGTGATGGTGATTGGTGTTGGTTGTTGTCACTGTTGGTTGTGGTGGTGGTTGTTTATCTTTATCACTTCCTTCTCCACCTTCAGTATGTTCATCTGGTGCCCACCAGTTTTCGCTGCCATCCTCTTCAACGACATAATTCATCCACACAAGAAGTCCAGGTCCTCTCATATGTTACCATCGGTCACTGCAGCGTATTCGTGTCTTCTGACTCCCCAGTGGCTTTATAGTCTACGAGCTCGTCTCGTACTTGAAAGGCCTTGGTATCGAATCTCGACAGAGTACGTACTGATGAAGAGTCACGAACTAGGACGTTACAGCCTTTCATTATTCCCAGATTTTAACCTCGCCTAGTTTACTGGCTTGCTAGTTTTCTAGACGGCTCAAGTCCCCGGAAAACAAGGAGTTTTAGACGTGGGGCTTGTGACCCTGTCCCAGATAATCAATCCAAATGCTATAGAATCTTCAAACCACAAGAAAAATTGTTAAAAATACAATATATATAAAAAAATAACCAATAGGATTAAACAGTATAATAAAACAAAACCTTATTAGAACTCTCCGCCTTGTAGACGAGTTGAATAATTCACTCACATGATAGATGAATCATTAGTCTTCCCAATATTGAAGTATGCCAATCTGTCTAAGATACGCTCCATTTTGTTCGAATCAGATACAGAAAACTGAACCTGAGAAAACCATTTAAAGAACAACAAGACGTAACTGATGAAAAATATGGAACACATAAGGATTAGATTTGAATAAAAGTTTTCTTCCTTATGTTATGCTCACAGAATTACACTTATGTAGTTGATACGCAAAGAATTCAAATTTTAACAAAAATAGACGTTTTCATACAATGACTTGGGGGGCAATTTACTGAAAGTCAACAAGGAGTGGATAGTTCGTACATTTAATGTCCAAGCTCTGGTCAGAAATTCGCCTTAATGTAGTCAGAAGAATATGCACTACAGAAACATGAGAGTTAGGAATTTCTGACTCTTGAAAAGATGTTGAAAGACAATGGCTACCCTCAGAGATAAATTAACAAGTACGGAAGATGTACAGAAGGTTCAAATACCAAACAAATCACAGTATAAAAGTAGCCAATCTTCATTCAACTCAGTTGCAGGAATAGTCAAGAGCAGGCTGAATATGTCACTAGCCACAGCCTATCCTGCAGCTGGCTAAGGTGGCTCCGTTTATCGAACAACCTGCTGTTTAGTGCAATCAAAGGTCGAAAGAAATCCTTCTCATGTTAACAGCTTCAGATGTGTATAAAAATTTGCCTGTATGCCAGATAGCAGTTGCATTGGGTGAACAGAAAGAAGAGCACACCATCAATTTTCTGAACATGTACCAAAAAGCTTACGTCTCAATGGGACAAATGTTTATAATAATGCCATTACCAGACATGATTGGTAGCCATCTTGAATCTCTGGACTATCTGAATTTTCATCCGAAACAATCCATTTCATTTTCTCTAGTTCTTGTTGTTATAATCACTCAGTTTTATCCCCTATCACTGAGCATTTATGTGCGACCAAAGAAAAGTACCCTAGTGGATAATTTTATTCTTCAGATCTAACACGACTGTGTCACATGACATGTACTGGAGATGACTTTTTTACCTGAAACTGCTGAATGAAGAGTAAATATTGCGCAATAAACTGCGCTGTAAATTGTGCAGATTGTGTAAACTGATTGTGCATAATAAAGCACAGCATCGAGTTGATTATCAGTTGTTGGTTTGCTGAGATTTGATTGGTTAAAGGTTTGATCCTGAGCCGAAATGCGGAGTGATGAGAAGCCTCAAACTAGGACCTTGGGCCGTTCACTTCAAAATAAATTTTGAATCGACCATCAATACCTACAGACCGTTCAGAGATACCAATGGCAGCAGGCGCAGAACTGATAGTTGACGATGGTCTCCAGCAAAAGCATTGAATGCAATTAAGCTACCGAAAGATGGAAAGGCAGGTGGTCCTCACGGAATCCTCCCCTGAAGCACTGAAAATGGATCCGGAAACCGCGGCTAGTATGCTCACACCACTGTTGCAAATATATTAGGAGGAAGGAAAAGTACCTACTGATTGGAAGAATGACTACCTTGTCAAACTACCAAAGAATCGCGAATTAGGCTTCTGTGAGAACTGGGGCACAATCATACTTTGTCCACGTGAGGCAAAATATTAAGTCGCACTATCCTGGAAAGAGTGAAAGCTGTTCAGGAATAGGGTGGATCTATAAAAACCGAGTCATCTACAGATCAGACTGCAGCACTAGTCATCATTACTGAATAGAGAATAGGTTGGTGGTATAATCTGTCTCTCATCTTCATCGACTTTGAAAAAGCCTTCGACAGCATTGGTCGTCAAGTGAGTGGAGTGCTGAGATCCAGATATTTATCACCCTTGTTCAGCAGCTACATGGAGAAGATGGCATACATCAAGTGATCCACAGAGGACATTTCAGTGAAACCTTTTGAGTGAAGACAGGAGTAAGACAAGGCTGATTACTATTACCAGCGATGGTACTCCTGAGAATACAGAGGTGATGAAGATAATCAACCAATGACAACCATTCACCATCAGCGAGAGGAATTTGAAAGGTGTCACTTCCTTACTGACTGACTGGTTTCAGCGTAGAGCTTTTCACTGATGTGCAGCAGTTTGGGTTGCTACACTCCCTCAATGTAGCACACAAGGCAAGAGAAAAGAGTAAATAGACATGATAAGTAGAAGTGTGAGTGAGGCAAAAAAGAGTAGCAATATGGAAAAGTAATAGAGTTTTATTGGATATTAGGAATCACACAGAGGGAGCCATCACCGAGAACGATTTTGAGCCAAATCATCACTGACTGTCTCCAGTCTTCATTAGTTTTTACCATCCCAAGGACCACAACCAGACAGGAAGTCTACAACTCCGTATGTGACTGACTGTTTGACTCAAACTAACCGTTGTGGCTGTCACTGACTGATGAAGCCATGTTTAGGTTTGACCACCTTTAGCTAACTCCTTTCCAATCTGTTCGATCCTACGTCAGTCAGCCAACATTGGCCATCGGTCGAGGAAAGCGATGGCTGGGTGTAAATGCGAAGCACATGTCCTAAACATCTATCTCAATCGGTGTAACTGCTTCGCAACCTCATTGTCAGTTGATTCCCCCTCCTCTTCCTCCTTCCTTACCTAGAACTCGACTGATGCCTCACCTCAATATTCCTGCCATTTAACACGCGAGATAGAACGTGGACACCTACGACAAAATACAGCTAGCTAGGTAACCGTTTTATATCTTCCACTTTCAATGGCCCGATCTTCACAGCCAGCCATAAAGGAGGACAGAGCAAACTGACGAGCAGTACACCCACCCTTTGGTCGACAGCCAGCAGGATATCACATCTACTAGGTCAGAAATGGCGTAAATTGGAACGTGCCAAACGAGCCTTCTGTATCCGTGCTGAGATTTCGCCAGGTATAACCAGCTGGCGTAGGCTTATGCAACTCCCCGAACAAGTGAAGTGGTCAAAACGCTTAGCCAGCCATCACTCCACTCCTGCCTATTTTTAAACTAGTAGTAGCCGATTTAGTCCAGTCAGTCCTGTAGCATCATCTTAAATGTGACGGGAACGAATCCCATACTAAACATTCAAATATTGCTGCTGCTCAAGGTGTGTTCAGAAGACTCTGCTCTTTTTTGTCACTGTCTTCACCTAGAACGACTGTATCATCGGCATATTCTACGCGAACCCAGGTGGGTGCGTACTGATAAAGAGACCCAAACTAGGACGAAACAGCTGTTCAGTACTCCATTTCTTTCAGTGGTTCTCTAATCGATGTCAGCTCATACTGAAATCCCCTAATAAATCAAACCTGAAAACAAGGTTATTCCCTGGCGGTAACAAGTCAGTCATTGGGATGCTGAAATCAGCTGAGCCTAAGTCCATTGGTACATCTACGATCACTGTGATGACTTCTTTAAATTATCTAGGCACTATTGTTTAGACTACAGACACATGTCAAGGATGGGAATTTCGAAACTATAGGGAATGGGAAAGGCAAGATATAACTTCATCAGTCTGAAATCAATTTTGAAATCATCTACACTCAGGATAAAGAACAAAATTGACTTTTGCAACACAAATGCTAAGTTCCATTTTCTGTATCTGTCAGAAACACGGATTGTCACACAAACCATTTAGAAGACTTTACTGCAGACTTTTATCAACAGTTGGCCTCTTCGTTGGCTCCATACTGAAGGTCAAATGGCCGGTGGAAAGAATTACCAACAAAAAACTCTGAGAACGAACCAATCAAGAGCTCATTCTTTAACAAATATTTTGAATAAAATGAAAACGCATTGAACACACATTAGGGAGACCGTTTTATGATATCTCTCGAGTAGAACCCTAAATGAAGAGTGGTTATTTGAAATTTGGAGGGTAAAATGGAGTGTATGAGTGACTATAGTCAATTGAGAAAACAGTTGAAGAGGGGACAGAAGAATAGTAGAAGTTGAAGATGTGCTGCTGAAGCCCAGTGTGCCATTCGGAACCTAGTAATGATAATGTTATAAAATCAGATGATATGTTGGATTTGTTTACTGACTTGGTTTGCAAACAGTCCTAGTTTTATGAGGATGCTAAATCACCCATCACACTGAATTATGCAACGGTTAGTTAACTAAAGTTACAAATTCAACTGTATAGTGATCAGTCTAGAGTTCAAAGCATTTGTTCAATAAAATAACTGCCCTTCATTGAATTTGACTTATCAGATCGCTAAAGTTTAAGGTAATAGACACTGACCAACTGACCTCAATTCAGAATATTGTTCCAGACCATGAAATGCATTGAGAATGCAACTTTCTCTGACATCATCATAAAATTCATGGAAGATGGCAGACTCTAGACACCAGTTCACTCAAAGTCTAAAAAGAAGCTTACAATACTTACATTTTAATAGCTTCTTTTCAAGTAGCTATAAACGAGCACTGGTCAAACCTCCTTTCTTATTCAGTCAGAGAAATTAGAGCAATGAATTTCTGATTCTCGAAGAGATATTAAAAAATCAACGGCTACCCTCAAAAGTTCATCAACTAGTAGAGGAGATGTGAAGGCTCAAATACCAAACAAATCACAGTGGAAAAGAAACTTATCTTCATTCAGCTCATCTTTAAAGGCGATAATATTACAGAAATAGTCAGCAGAAGACTGAACACCTCACTAACTAAGTTGGTTCCTATTTATCAGACAACTTGCTCTTTGATGCAGTCAAAAGTCGATAGATACTCTTCTAGTGTTATCTTTAAGTGGGGTCTACAAATTTAGATTTATCTGTTGTATAAGGTACACTGAGCGAACAAAATAAACAGGGGAGGGGCGCACACCTTCGATTTTCCGAACATGTATCAAAACATCTCAAGAGAACAACGACTTTAAATAGTGTCATTACCAATACGCGTCATGAGGTGGATATCACGAAATCCTTTGAATATGTCAACGGACAGAATAGTTTAATCCTTCTCAAGTTTGACAAAGTAGTCAATACCAAACGTTTGATTATGTAATCCTGAGTTGTAATCTCTCCCTTCTTTTATGTAGTTAAACTTTTGCTTTTCTCTTGTTTCTGTTAACAGAGTTGAACTCACCACATTGTTACTCAGTTCATTAGTTACTTATCAGCTTGC